AGACTCAATTACAAACTTTACCACCAGTAACATTTGCCTTGGCTATCAAGAACCCATGAATAGCAACAGTAGGGCAAGTTTTTTTCACAATGCAGTCAGTCAAGAGCATATGTAACAATGAACACATAGTCCTTTCGTGTCATTGGAAAGTAGTCTAATTGATCCCACTTTCAATACCAATGTTTGGCTATTAGGAGAATAGTTAACAGTGCAGATATTATGAATTAAAATGAATAATGATCACTGAGCTTACAGAATGTCAAATTTACTGAAGAGCTGCTTTTAAAAAACAGTTCCCTGAATGAGAAACAGAACAAAACCACAAATTTATTAATAAATATCAACTGGAAAATGTTACCTAGGTTTACAGAGATTCTTTGGAAGCAGAGCAGTATCTCCCTGGAAACACAGAACTCAGAACAATCTGGTACATATTTTCCTCAGTTATAAGATGATATTTAACATATTTAGACTTTTTTTAAAAGCCCTCCAGAACCACGTCTTTTTAAAGTGAAGACTGACTTGACATAGAACAGAAAGGTGACAGGTTGCGCCATTTCTATACAAATCGATCAACAAACCCCAGAGCAAAATCTTCCCCCTCCAAACACCAGCAGCTCCTGAAACTACAAAGCAGCAAGGCAATTTTCTGTAGATTTGCTTAGAAACTAAACAAATGTGTACAAATAAAGCCATAACGGTGGAATCATAGGCACATTCAGGAAGAAAGTAGTCCTACAATCCCAGCATGCCCCAGCATCCCATTCCACTCCCTAGTCCACAGATCCAGGCACCTAACTTTGAAACCAATAGGGAGAGGGGAGGACCAAGCTCCTGTGGAACAACAAACAGCCAAAAGAAGCCCTTCAGTACTGACAGAGCTCTGGATACAGCAATGCCTTTACAACATACCTCCCCACTGAGCGTGGTTGCTCTGCCCATCATGGTTACAGAACATCTAGAAAAAAGCTATTTTTTAAATGAAACAACCAACTATACCACATATGATTTAAAAAAAACAAACAAATCTCAAGGTATTCCAGTACAGACTGTATTGGGGAAGAGTGAACTCAAAGGATAACAAACAAGTATTCTGCTGATGTATCAAAAGGTAATCCCAATTTTCATTAGGAATAGCTTTACAGATGATGGAAAGAAAACAGCTTTTAGAAAGCCAACGAAACTGCAGGATTTACATTGTTGAAAACAACACTGGAGCTTTTTCTGTTTCCCAGTGGGGTATACCAAATATCCTGTAAGCAGTGAATATTAAGCAGCAAACCCCTTGGTACAAAGACTGAACTATTGATATGGAGAAAACTGTGCCTCTTTCTTTCATGGAAGAGAAAACTATAGTACTATAAATGAAGATGAATACAAAAGGAATTCAAGGGGGAGCTCAACCCCCACTCTGTCTTTCAGCTCCGGTAGATTGTCTAAATCAATGGTTGTCTTCTAGCTTTTCAATTTGTCCTACTCTATCTACAATACAAAAAGTAAAACCTTCTAGCTCACCATATAAGCATTAAGCAAGAAAAACTGAAAAACGTATGTTAAAATGTTTCAATATTAGGATAGCAATCATATTCACAAAACCGCTTGTCTAGATTCCACAGTATATACAAAGTTTATTAGAGGTGGACACCAGATATATGATGATAACAGAAAAAAGTAGGTGCATAAACTGTTGACAAGTTTTTTAATGCATAAATTTCATTTTAATTAAACATTTAAAATAAAATATAGCAGTGGCTCACTTAAAAACACATGGCCATGACTCACAATCAGAGGTCCAGCCACATTCCTATAAAGAAAGGGCAGGGAACCTGAGGCCTTTCAGAGGTTGCTGGACTTCATTTCCATCATCCTTGAATACTGAATGCACTGAAAGGCATTGGAATCCAACTGTGTCTCAAGGGGCACAGATTTTTGAAGCCTTCTATAAAGAGATAAAACTTCCTGGCTCCTCCCCAAAACTTTGAATACAAAGTTGGCGCAGTATTGTTACAGAAGGATTCCCTCCCACATATGCAGAACTGCACACACAGTTGAGGAAAGGAAGCATGCCACATATTCTTTCGATTTATACTGCATTTCTTTAATCTGGCAATCAAATCTATGTAGCTAGGAGACAGATATTTCATCTCAAACTTCCCTCGGGCAGGCCAGTGCTAAAAGACAAACACATTATTACCTACCTGCTACTCTATGCATCAGCTGAAGTTCATGGAATCTAAGTAAATCTAATTGCATAGCTAATTAAAGCAAAAGATAATGGGTTGGATCAAGCATTTGCCTCTCATGGACAGAAGAACTTCTTCCAGCTGCAGAAGGCCTGTGAGCTGACACAGGTGTCCCACTGGCAGAAAGAAAAGCACTATATTTGTCAACCCCCCTCTCTTCCTACAGTCCCCCCAAAATCTCCTGTGGCAGGTTGGGAGACAAAAGGTCACTGTAGGAGTTAACAGTAGGGAACATCCAACCTGCATGCATATGCAGTATTTCTGAACCTTGCAGACAGCTGATCAGGAAAAGCAGCTCCTGGATAGAAACATAATGTGCTTCCTCCCGCAACATGTGATCAGTTCTAATGATTTTAATGCAAAAAAGAAAACCGGGCTCCTCACTGGGCATCCAACCCTTTTGCTGCTTGCCCATCACTGCAATTTTTTAAAAATTGTATCCATTGTAGAGCTCAAACAACTAACCAGTTTATTTGGGTATAAATGTTTATGGATATGGTCACTTACACCTGAATAAATTTGTTATTTTTTAAAGTACCACAAGATTCTGTCAGTGGTTTTGCTGCAGCAGACTCAAATAGCTATCCCTCTGGAATCAGTATACTAACATCCTGATTTATGGAAAATAAAGATAGTATATACAAAATAAACATTTTGCAATAAGTACAATAATCAAAACTTAACTTCTACTTTTCCTTATGCTCCTATAGCAAAATAAGGTAATATACTATTCACCTGTACACAACAAAAATAAATGACTAACCTCAAGTATATGCAACATTACAGACACATGTTGTACAATCAACAAGATGCAAAAGAGAATGCTTGCAAAACTTATTTACAATTTAAATACAGAAAAGTGAACACACACATACACACACCAAAGGGGAAGGTCTGAGTCAGTTTCATAAGGAAAGGAGTGATTTAAAGAGGAAGGGCAAATCTTCTTTTATCTAGACAAGTCATGGAATCTACTGAAACCCAACACCTTTACTCCAGAAGCAATTGCCCACTGCAAACATCCAAGCTTAGCAGAATCACCAAAACCAAGGATTGCTTAAATAGTACATTAAGAACCTATGTAGATTTTTAGAAACTCGTCCTAGAGAAAATGATCTGCAGAAAATTTTTGAAGACTGCATTTGTTACAAAGAAATAATGAACAGCAACAGTCAAGGTTAGACAAGGAGAGTTTTCTCCTATAAACAATCTGTCCTGCTTTTTTTCCATAAAAGCAGGCAAATATATTCCTCAGAAATCTATGATTAGCCAGTACATATGCATATGTTGATTCTAAAATAGATCATGGGGCCTTTGATACCAAAATGGAACACTTGAAACAAAAAATAAAATGTAGTTCCACATCGTTAATAATCAATTTGCAATTATTTAAACACAAATAATCACCTCCTACCTGTTCTGCAAGATCCAGTTTTAAGGCATTCCTGGTTCACTTCTCTAAACTCCAGAGACAGAAACTATGTTTCATTCTTCCACTCCCTTTCCCACATTATAAACATGCAGAATATCCCCAACGGCATTACCTTTGAATTAGCTAATTATTATCGCGGTGCCCAAACTGGCTCAGAACAAACTAACTACAGCAAAGCTGGCAACTAAAACTGCTTACATATTTGGACAAAGGGATGCCTTTTAGAAATAAATGAAAAGTTTTGAGATGGAATTATGTCAATCTTCCCCACCCCTAAAAAAAAAAATGAAAATGCATCACTCTTCTCCAGTGTGATACGTTTCTTCCCCGGTTTTGAGAGCTTGGCATGTGTTCGATTAAAATTATGTTCAGCAAGTAACTTACCCCCCTTCGTTTCCTCATAACGACTGTTTCAGCCCATCCCCTCCCCCAAATTCCTCTGCTAAGGGGGAAAAGGCACGTATGCACAAAATCCAGTGTTACTGCTGCCCTCTTCTTTCCACTGCAGCCGTCTCAATTTTGCCCGCAGGAAAAATAATCAACTTGCTCACTAGGTTTGGGGAAAATACGAGTCCTTTTTTTTCTGGAAAAGAGATGAATCCACGAAGTAACAGAAAGGGGTGGGCAGAAGGAAAGCCAAGTGAATACCGCTGCTTCTCTTTTTCTTGTTTAAATTGGGGGCAGGGTGAGCAACTAAGCCGATCAGTCGCAGGCAAAGCTCCCAGACTTTCTGCGCAGATCATTCTCGGGGAAATAAGGAAATATTTGGACATAGGGCACTGAGATCAGAGGGAGGAAGAATCCTCTACCTCCTCTCAGACCAATCCATCAAGGAAGCAGGAGCCCCATTTAATACCTTTGAGACGATCTATCCTGCAGCAGAGGAACACGAGACTTCGGGGCGGTGGGGAGGAAGGGGGGCACCAACAGCAGAGAAAACTCAAGGTCTCAGGAGTCAGTTTCCAGAGGAGGAGGGAAGTGAGAGCGCGTAAAAAGCAAGGCTGGAGGCTTTCGCAGAAGTGGGGAGAGGAAAAAGAGGGGGCGTGTTTCCTGCACCCGATTTATTCAGGTCTTCAGGTTCCTCCTACTGCGACTGCCACAGGCTGAGGAAAAAACCTAGCTGGTGGATGGGGGAAGCGGTGCTCTGTCCTGTCTTCTCCCCCCACCCGGGCATGTGGAGGAGGATGTATATATGTACGTCTCTCATCAGGTTCAGCCACACTCAGGGGCTACAGAAGGAAGGAAACCGGGGGGGCGACTAGTGCGAAGTGTGTCCTTCCAGTTGACCAACCCAGCCCCAGCCAGCCAGCCTCGTTAGAACTCACCCAACAAAGTTGCTGCTGCCGCTTGTGCAGAAGCTGCGGCTGCTGCTCGCTCCCTCTCCAGTGCCCGGGATGAGCTCACCCAGCAAACCTGCCTGCTCCGCCTGCTACCAGTCGAACTCTCGCGAGAGGAGCCGTGACTCGGCTGCTCGGGCCACCGCCGCACGCCTCGCCGAAAAGACTGGCAGCGAGCTTGGAGGAGCCTTGGCAGTTTCTATGGTAACGGCCAAACGCCGGCCTAGTGGTGGACCGCGAAGCCTGCGCGAAGGCAAGGCGGTCCGGGTGAGTGAGTGGTGGTGTGGCTGCTGCAGCGGTAGCTTCACCCTTGTCCTCAGCAACGGCTCTGAATGTCGAGCCACACCGCGTCCCTGCAGCTGCAGCGACGGCTCTGCGGACGGAGCTGGCGGCAGCGGGTGGCTGAGCGCCCCCAACAGCTTCCTCGCGTTGGCGGCTGCAGGCAGCATACTAACGTCTGACATCGATAATACAAATGCCTCTGCTTAGAGGGAGATTAAATTCTCCGTGCTTGTTCCTTTACAAATTCAGCGCGGGGACTGGTACTGATAGCCCTTGAAATCTGATAGCGCTTCACTGCCTAAATCCCGAAGTGCCGCAGAAACCTTCACATACAGCGGCTTCCATAGCAAGCTCTGACTACATCCATGAAGGGGGGGAAATATTTTGAGCATCACATAAACTAGTTATTTAAAGGCCAATCCAATGCATGTTTAGGGTTAGCAAGTCTCACAGGGGTTTATCCCAAGTAATTGTGCATAGACGTGCACCCTAATGTAAGAGGTTTGACAAACATTTCAGCAATATGAAAGCTTCAATATCTGGTCTGAAAGCTCTAGGAAGGAATAAACGCTTGGAGTATATGGGGTAGCAAGTGAACTATTCCAAGCCACAGAGGCTAAATGGGTCCAAATCCTAACCAGAATATGCCAGCAAATATGGAAAACAAAGCAATGGCTCAGTATACATTGAACAATGTTCAATATACATTTCAAGTTCTCAAGAAAGAAGATTATGAGAATGGCAGCAACTATAGGACCATTGTATTAATTTACCCATGCAAGCCACATGATGCAATAAAGTATTTTACCTAATATAGAGTGAGGTTCAAGCTGGAACCTAAAGGAAGAGGTACTCAAGCTCATATCATAAATACATGTTGCTACTGGCTCTCACAAAAATATAGTAATAAGCAGAAGAAGTTCAATCTGTATGGAATATAGGAAAGCCTTTGTGGATCTTGAGAAGTTATGCATGGTCCTGAAAGAAATGGGTGTGCCTCAGCACTTCACTGTGCTGATGTATAACTGGGATTGTGAACAAGATGCTACTGATAGGCAGAATATAGGGAAGCAGAATGGTTTCCTATTGGCAAATGTATCTAACAAGGGTGTATTTTATCAACCTCTTTGTTTAGTCTGTACGCAGAACAAACCATAAGGAAAACTGGATTAGGATCAGAAGAAGAAGAAATGAAAACTGGTAGAAGATACATAAATAATTTATTATAGGCAGATGATACCATATTACTGGCAGAAAGGAGTAATGCACTGAAATGACTTCTTATGAAAGTAAAATAAGAAAGTGCAAGAGCAGGCATTCATCTGAGCATTAAGAAAAAAGAAATCATGATTACAGAAGAATTGCACAACTTTACTGCCGACAATGAAGAAATTGTGAAAAAAAATTGCATACCTTGGCTCATTCATCAACTCAATGGGTGACTGCAGCCAAGAAATTAAAAGACAGACTTGGAAGTGTGGCAATGAAGGAGCTAGAAAAGATAATCAAGTGTAAAGACATTTCAGTGGATGCCAAGGTCAAGATCATTCACACTGTTATATTCCTAATCACTATGCATGGGTGTGAAAGCTGGACAGTGAAGGAAACTGACAAAGAAAATTAATGCATTCAAAACATGATCTGGAGGAGTGCTTTGAGAATACTGACAGACAAATAAGTGGTTCTAGATTAAATCAAGCCAGAAATATCCCTGGAAGCAAAAATGAGAAATCTGCCATAGTTTGCACACATCAAGAGAAGGCAAGGCTCATTGAAGAAGACAATAATCCTAGGGAAAATCTAAGCACAAGAAAAAGGCCAAATATGAGATAGCTCAGTTCCACAAAGGAAGCTACTAAATCTGAAACTGAATTCTTACTTTTAACAAAGAACCTCAGGTCAGTATACAGGATTCTCGTATTCACCATTCTTTCCTCACAATCACCAAGTGAGATAAATTAGGCTGAGAATCGTTCATCTAAAATCCATGGTTAGTAGGGATTTGAACCTCAGTTACCCATTCCTAATCTGACCGATGTATCTGACACAAGTGCATTTGAAGATACAGAGTATCTGTGATACTTTCTTTTTAATCTGCCTAGATGTGTTGTCCTATTCTAGATTTACTTATTGTAATTATTTAAAATGATTTTAAAGACAAAACCAAACACCAAATGGTGCAGAGGTAGTGTGACATTTGTGGTTCATAGCTATGTCACAAATAGTGACATTAATGCAACCACATCCTACACAGTAAGCGTAACAGCACCATGTTTTTACAGCTACAAGATGGCACACTTTAACCACTTGGAAAACCATGATATCTCTGAATAGAAAGACACCTTTGAGAAGATGGTATGTTGTGTATGTGCAATTTATAGGAATTTAGAGTATTGCCTAAAAATTCATAAAATGTGTAAACTGAACATATTTCTTCCTCAGTGCTTCTGAACAATTCCACTCCAGGTTTTTGAGGCTTCTAGGGCAAGATAATAAAACTAAATAAAATGGGACCCCTCCCTCAGCCAGTCTATCTTTTTGCCACCATTGTGATCAGCTGCTTTTTCTCCTCATCCACTTTCTTATGGTTGTTATCATTTGCATGCTTGACAAGCAGAAACCCAGTGAGTAAACAGGCAGTGGCATCTATGGCTCTTCCTCCTCACTGACACCATTGTCTGGGCCAGAATGAGAGGCAGGAGAACAAAAAGGTTGCAATGGTGAAGAGGAGGATAACTGCAGGGGATTATTGTCAGGGGCCTTTGGCAGGTGCCGGGCCATGTCTACACTTCATGCCATCTTTCCTTCTGTATGTCAAACAAAAGATATCTGCTAATCTTGTTATTTCATGTGAATGATTTACAGCACAGTACGAACCATATTTATTTGTAGTTAAGTCTCATTAGTTTCAATAGGAAATATTTCCATGTAAATATGGTTAGGTCTGCTACCAGAGTATTTCTATAGAATAAAATTCAACACTGACAGAACAAATTCCCCCTCCTTTTTGCAACACCATATACTTTGGCCACCTAAGGAGAAGGAAGGACTCCCTGGAGAAGAGCCAAATGCTGGGAACAATACATGACAAAAGAAGAAGGGACGGCAGAGGATGAGGTGGCTAGATGGAGTCACTGAAGCAGTTGGCGTGAGCTTAAGTAGACTCCGGGGGAGGGTGGAGGACAGGAAGGCCTGGAGGAATGTTGTCCATGGGGTCGAGATGGGTCATACACAGCTTCGCGACTAACAACAACAAGAACAATTCTGAAGAAGCTTGAGACCTTTCTGAAAAGTTCTGGATGGTACAATGGGGAAAAGGACAGAAGATCCAATTGTATGAGAACATAACTAGTTGCTAGAAGATAGATGATGTGCTCTTGCACCAAGAAAAAGGGAACCAAAATTACCCAGGGAATTGAACAACACTCTTATGAGGAAAGGTTACAACCCTTGGTTCTGTTTCGCATAGGAAAAAAGATTAATAAGCCAATGGAGAGGGGCAAAGTAGAGGTGTATAAAATATGCATAGTGGGGGCAAAGTAATAGGAAAAAAATTTTTTTTCTCCCTCTCATACTACCAGAATCCAGGTTCATCCAATGAAGTCTAACACTGAGGTGCAGGACAGACAGAAGTACTTCATGCAGGACAGAGCTGAATGATGGAATCTTCTTCCACAAGTTGTAGTGATGGCAACATACTTGGAAAGGGGAATTAAAGCATAATCCAATGCTTGATTTGACAGAAAAAAGCCCTAGAATGCTCAGCATTCTCTATTCTGGACTTTTATTGACTAACCATGGATAGGATTGCATCCTTAGATAAATTCATGGAGGAATGGCTACTAATCATGATGGTAATATATTACCTCCATTATCAGAGGCATTATGCCTACAAATATCAACTGCTAGAGAACACAAGTATGTGGTTTGCATCCATGTCCTCTTGTGAACTTCTTATAGTCATCTGCTTGGCCAATGTGGGAACAATATTGGACTAGATAAGCCTTTGGTCTTACTATACTATTTCTGCAACAGGGTAAACAAGTAGGCAGTACAAGCAGGAATGCATGCACTGCCTCACTTTTGGTTCCCAGTTTCTCTTCCTCCAGCCTTTCTTATTCATTTAATCAGCATGTTAAGTCCACTGTTGGTTGAGAAGAAAGTGAGAGCAGGACTGTTCCACTACCCCCACTGAAGACCTCTTTAATGAAGGTTCTTCCTGCACCAGCAGCCATTCCAGCAGGTTAAATGGAAGGAGTTGAGAAGGAAAGCAAGACAATTCCACCAGCCCTACTGAAAGCTTTGATTTTTCCCTCTTTCCTCCCTATTCTTTTTCCCTTGTGTGTCATATATTTTCAGACTGTAAGCCTACAGGCAGGGACTGTCTTATCTAATTGATTATATGTAAGCTGCTCTGGGAGGCTTTTTGGCTGACTAGCAGCATAAAAACACTTCAAATAAATAATAATAAATATACGGGAAAGTATTAGTATCAGTAGACACTAAAAGAATGAACAGCAAACTCTACAATATACTAAACAATAGAACAGAGCACCACATCAAGCAAACAAGTTTACTGCAATGCAGACACGGCCTCTAAAAGGAACACAAGTTATTGTGTTCTACTTCATTACAACAGTCCCCCCCAATAAGTCGTATCTTTCTTGCCCTTGTGCTAGCAGTCCACAAATCAAATACCTTCAATAATGTGCTGACATACAGTACACCTGAGCTGAAATGAATGCTCCCCCTTTTAGAAAAGGGTAGATGTCTGTGTAATGCAGTGCAGATCTGAAAACACACAAGCACTGTAAAACACTTT